TGTTGTATAAGGAATTGAGAAGGAGGAGACTTTGGTTCAGAGCATGAGGTGTCTTTGATTCTAAATCCACTTCTACTTTGAACTAGCTGAGTAATCTTGTGGCAATGACTTTGCCTTCTTGGATGATTTTTTTTTCCAATCATGAAAATAATTTTACACTTCTCCAAATCTTCCAAAACACCTCCCATAGTGTCCTTTCCAAATAAATTTAATTGGTCATCACCCTTCAGAAAGAGAAGTACAATGCCGAATATGACCTGTCAGCCCGGCAGAGGGCAGACACCCTGGCCTTCATGTCCCTCGTGGAAGACAAGTAAGCTGTTTTTTGCAGTTCACGTTTATCGCTGAAAAGTGCTTTGAAGTGCGGTCTTGCTTTCTGATTAAAAAGCTTTTTTAATTGAGTTCATCACGAAGCTCAAAAAAAAGGTTTTAAAACTCTTCCTCTCAATTACCAACTCACTTCAGTGTGAAATAGCAGAGCATTGTTTGGCACATCCAACTCATTGCACAGTTGTGAAAACAGTTGACTGTTTAAAGTGCTTGCCTTTACAAAACTGACAGAACTTATGACGCTTTTCATTACTTCTTGTAACTCTTGTGGCAGCTTCTTCATTGCTAATATTTGCTAATAAACCATACAGTGGGTTCCGATGACTTTTGGTGACTCATTCAGTCCCAAACATTGAAATCCAGATCGACATCCTAGCACCATCTCTGCAAACATCACAAACCTTTCCCCACGATATCTTATGCTCTTTCAGAAATGAACTAACTGTGTCATATACATCACGTGCAGTAGTTGTCGTTTCAAGAGGTTTGCAAAAGAGAAACTCATCTTTAAAGTTGCCATCATTAATATACCTCACGTAAACCAGTAACTGTGAACAGTTTGCAATGTCTGTAGATTCATCAAGCTGGATGCTAAATATTGGAAGTGGAGCAGATTGAATTTCCTGGATTACCTGATCAAGAATATCAGCAGACATGTCATCTATTCTTCTGCGGACAGTGTCGTTAAATAAGGAAATTTCAATCAATTTCATAACAAATTTGTCTCCAATCATAACCCGAACAATGTCTTTGGCCACTGGCAACAGTAAATCCTCAGCAATGGTGATTCTCAGTGCCACTAAATATGAAGCTTCAACGGCTGCTATGTTTTGTTTGTGGTACTTTCCACCAGTGTCAAGTCTGGCTTTCTTGACTCCATCAGCTTTGCTTCTAAAACAGTTGGTATCCTTGCCAGCAAAGGTCAGATGCTTGCTATTAAAATGGCATGTTAGTTCCTTTGGCTTCATAGATTCGGCTGATAAAACTTCACAACAAATAACACATTGCGGTTTCTCAATTCCTGCTGTAATTATTGAGGCAAAACCATACTGAAAAAAATCCTCACTATATATTTTTTTCTTAACGTTCTTCTCTACATGATCCATTGTCATGGGATGGTTTGCTAATGAAAATAGTATATAACACTAACTTTAATAATACAAAAGATGATACATGGCATAGTTCAGTCAATACAGTTCATTAAAGTTTCCTATGATTACCATTCTCTGTGTTGTTGTTTTCTTACATACCTGTTACTATCACAAAGGGGTTGTATTCACATCAACCACAGCTGAATATAAAAAGATCGATCAGCATCCAGATTAAATTCCAATGGCATATATATATATATATATATATATATATATATACATATTTTGCTGTAGTTGATGATTTTACAGTACATGATTTTACATTTACCCAGTAATTATAATTCATGAAGTGTCATTTTACCTCCAATATTGCTTCTTTCAGCACAGTAGCTGCTCTCTACACATGTGTGACTGGTCCCCATAAGTACATATGGCACCAACCCTGTCATATACACCTGTATTTGTATGGGGTGTATGTGATGGGGTTGGCACGGTGATGTCATCTCGCTGGGTCCTTGTATGTGAGTGTATCTGCATGTGGGCAGACCTCTCTGGAGATGGATAGAGGAGGGGTGTCTCAGTTCCTAAGACCCTCGGAAATATCTGTTTTCTGATGGTCTTAGGTGATCCCTGTGAAAGGGTTGTTCGACCCCCAAAGGGGTCGGGACCCACAGGTTGAGAATGGCTGATCTATTGTCTGTTGCCAAAGCTGACATAGAGCCGGGGACCTAGCCATGCTCAGAAGTTTTGTCTCCACTCAGTGCTATGTCTTTCCCTTATAACTATTGTCTTAGTTATCTAGTGCTAGTATCAGAGAAATACCACAAGAGGGTAGTTTTTAACAAACAGATGATTATTTTTCATAGTTTAGGAAGCTATAAATTCTAATTCCAGATCCAGCTCTAGGGAAAGGCTTTCTTTGTCAGCTGTGGAGAAAGGCCCTTGTCTCTTCACAGCTTCTGCTCCGGGATGATCTTCCTGTGGTTTGGCATCCCCTTTCCACAACTCTCTGCTTCATTTTTCCTTTGGGAGAGATGGTCTCAAGGCAAACCCTACGCTGATCCTACCTCATTAACATAGCAGAAAATGCATTCCCAAATGGGATAATAGGTCTAATAGAGTTTATTATTGACAACACATATTTGGGGGAAGAAAATCCAATCCATAACAATTACATTCCTAATCTGGCAATGGAGTAAGACTGCTTCTAGTCTAAGATCACTTTATTCATACTTCTGAAGCAGTATGACAAATGAGAAGTGGGTAGCGGTGAACAGATAGCCTTTTTCCCCTTTCCATTCAAAAGAGTCAAATTGTTACTTAAGAAACCAAGAAGTGCAATGCTTGTTGTAACTATGTAGAGTACTTAAAGCCCTTAGCTGCTGCCCAAAAGGTTGGTATTTCAAACCCAGATGCTTAGCACAGTAGAAAGGCATGGCAGTCTGCTGCCTAGAGATGTACCCAGCCTTCAAAACCATAGAAATTCTAGAAGGGTCCTCAAACTACGGCCTGTGGGCCGAGGACATTTATCCAGCCCGCCAGGTGTTTTTGCCGCCTATGTTTTTTTTACTTCAAATAAGTTATGTGCAGTGTGCATAGGAATTTGTTCATAGTTTTTTTTAAACTATGGTTCGGCCCGCTGACAGTGAACGGACCCCCTGTTTAAAAAGTTTGAGGAGCCCTGCTAGACTGACTATGGGTCAGATTCTACTGGAAGACAGAGGATTGGGTTTTTTTCTTTTTCAATCGTTTTATTAGGGGCTCATACAACTCTTATCACAATCCATACATACATCAATTGTGTAAAGCACATTTGTACTTTGTACAATGTGTAAAGCACATTTGTACATTGCCCTCATCATTCTCAAAACATTTCCTCTTTACTTAAGCCCCCAGCATTAGGTCCTCATTTTTCCCCCTCCCTCCCCGCTCCTTCCTCCCTCTTGAGCCCTTGATTTATAAATTATTATTTTGTCATATCTTGCCCTGTCCGACGTCTCCCTTCACCCACTTTTCTGTTGTCCGTCCCCCAGGGAGGAGGCCACATATAGTTT